GGAATTGATTAAATGTTCCCAGGGAAAACTGTTATTCGCCCCCAAATCCCAATCAATTCTTTCACGTTATTTGCAATTTAACGCTACATTACAAGATTACATTTAATAAATTGAAAAAAACTAGTTTTCGGGTATCTTCGTCTGAATTGAATTAAATGTTTTACAATTATTAAAAAAGTGAAATGTTTATAAACGTGATTTTCGGGAAGCAATTTTCTTATATTTGAACATGAACATGTACCAATGAGATTTTCTCAGGAGATGTAACTAAAGTTTATATAAATGTGGGAAAAAATATCTTTGGTCAAGGACATTGTCTTAAATTATTTCGTGAATAACTCGCTGAAGTTCTGTAAGTTCATGTCATGCGTTCAATCAATAACAAGACATAACAACTTTTCAGAAGTTTTCAGACTTCTGAAATATTGTTATGTCTGGTGAAGATATGATAAACACAAACCTGACATTGGCCTCCCTTCTGGTATAGTATTCTATCATTGCATGGAAGAGTAGAAATACTAGTATATTTTGTCTGGGCAATTCTTGACAGCTGTAGTGTTTCCAGAATGTGAAATAAAATATTCGTTACCTTAATAACAAATACTCCTTTCTTGCAGTAAATTCGGGAAGTAATTTCTAAGCAATATAACACATATGACAATTTGACATCGAAATGTCATTTTTTATTGATATACAATGTAATTGTTTTTCTTTATCCCCAAAATATTTAATAAACGAAAACATCATTTTTAATCTGACTGCTAACATCTCGTAATGAAATGATTCAACGCAATTCCTGCCTGTCTATATTGTATTTGAAAAACTAAAAAAGTCCCAAATCCTTAGCTGTATTTGTGTTTCAGTTTTAGATATTGAGAAAGATATCAAATTAACCTGCCATCCATTTTGTGTGCATGTATGTATTATTATATTTGTGTGACTAGTGGACTTAATTAATTAAATGACCCGTGAAGATTCCGTTGTAGAATAGGTCTTCAGCAACCCATACTTGCCGTAAAAGGCGACAATGCTTCTCGTAAAAGGCGACTAGCGGGATTGGTTGATACATGTCATCGATCCCAATTGCGTGGATCGATGCTCATGATGTCAATCACTGGATTGTCTGGTCCAGACTCGATTATTTTACAGACCGCCGTCATATGGCTGGAATATTGCTGAGTGCGGCGTTAAAGAATAAACAAACAAACAATAATTAATCAAATAAGATAACAATACAGTTTTTTCTTGATAAAGTCACCCAAAGTGGAGCTATACAACATTTCGAGATTGTGAAATGCAATAACCATCTACGAAACTTCAGAATGTATAAATGTGGTGTATGCGTCAACGGGGAGTCTCCTGGGCTCCTTGTTTTGAAGCATGAGTAGCATTTATGCGTTTGGTGGTTTATAGACATATATAGGTGATCGTGTACCCTAAGTGCTAAAGTATAAACTGACTCACTCAGTGATGTATGTTCAATAAATATAACACGCCTACCAATAAACCCAATTGTATCACGGGTTATTTGCTTTCGTCATGCTTTTGCGTATTTGCCTCTCCTCGTGTGTTGTGATATTGCGTCAATATCGCCGTCTAAACCTTACAAAATCCAGGAAAAGTCTTACGGCTAGTACTTGACAACTTTGCACACGACCCTATGCGGTATGTAAGGCATTGATAACAACTATATGTAGATGTTTGTCCAATGACTCATTCATTTTTGTAAGTTTTGTAACGCGTAGGTTTCGTGGAATTATTCCTAAACTTTAACGATCTTCACAGGCAAAGAGGGCTGGTGTAGTGGATAGATGGTCTGCCCGGAAAACGGAACCCGTGGTTCCAGTCCGACCACGTCAAACCAAAAGACGTTGACTTAGGTTACTTGTTGTTACCCGGCCTGACGGTCGGCATTGAAGGGTAACAACAAGGGCGGATCGGCTCGGAGTCAGTATACTGTTTCTGAGTGGGGTACCATGTTAAAACTTCGGCATGGTATCTCAGTGGCCTATGACTATACAACCGGCATTTGTCAGGATTAATACAAACACAGAGATCGTGCACGTCGCTGTATAAGTGCAATAATCTAGTGCGACATTAAACCCCACCTCACCTAGACTCGCTTACAATTTCCTCCAAGTCCTGGACCTTGTATGATAACACCTACCCATCATACCTTTCTCCCCATGCACTGAGTTATTGAGTGAAAACATGTCGGAGACGCCATGTCATAGTGATCCTGTATTGCGGTGACGAGACGGTGTTTTTTGTAGTCTTAACAGAACAACTCACGGGTTCGCGTGATATTTCATCTTCAGATTATATGCTTCTCGTTGACAAGTATAACATATAACGTCGTGGCCAGAGAATAACCAGACCCAATTATCCGACGAAACAGATTCCTTTGGCTTAATAGGCAAAATATTGGTGACAAATATATGAATGTATCAAGTCAGGGACGCCACCAGCTTGTTGCGAACACATATCATCACAGTGAGACTGTAGCAAGAACGCTTAAAAAAGCCTGTTTGGTTTGCTTTGTAGTCCGATCTTTAAAGGTGACTATTTCGACATAAGACGCCAGGACTGTTTCCAGTTATATAGAGATTTATTGTTAAGTGTTGCACCGGGTGCGCTCAGTAAACATTGCGTAACTGGCATATGCAGACTTAGCGTCAAGTAGGATCTTTGTGCAAATAAAACCCAGAGGAGTGTCTGAATAAACTGCCGGGGGAAAAAAAGCATGCACCCATGTTTGATGGTGACTGAAAATGAAACAAACAAGAAATGGAGTTTCGATGTAGATGTATTTGATATGGGTATCATTGATTACTGGTTATTCTCTGGCGTTGACGAAGGTTTTGAACCTTAAGTTTGAATTGTTTCGGCGACTGTTTTCAACGTAGTAACGTTTCGATAAAGGATGTAACATCAAATATTGAAATGTATACTCTTTTGCCCCGCAGTTTATATCAGCACCCGAAGAGTGGAATTTCTTATTATTCTTACATTTTGCATAAACTGAAATTAGAAAAATATATAATCACATTTGACAGAAGATTTTGGTCAACTCTCATTTACAATTAGGAGAAATAAATTTCATCACCACTGTTCGTAAAAATTGTGAATAATACGTATAAAACTATTTGTTCTAACAAAACAAACCAATCAATAATCATTCAGTATCGTTTTTCTACCCGTGAAGATCCGGGATATAATAGGTCTTCCAGTAACCCATGCTTGCTGTAAACGGTGACTATGCTTGTCGTAAGAGGCGACTAACGGGATCGGGTGGTCTGGCTGACTGACTTGGTTGATACATGTCATCGCATCCCAATTGCGCGGATCGATGCTCCTGATGTCAATCACTGGATTTTCTGGCCCAGATTCGATTATTTACAGACCACGTCATATAGCCCGAAAAGTGTTGGAGTGTGGAGAAACGAAGAAACAGATAGCACCATTGTGCAATCGAACTTCCTTGATGGAAGGACCTTGTTTTATAACTGTTTTTTAACTTATATTTTTTTTCAGCCACCTGCAATGAATTTAAGGTCAATTTGTAAGCCAACTAATACAAAACAGAAGGCCTTGATGTTCAAATGACTTTCCTATTAATCTCAATAGTGTTGACGGTGTGGTTCATTTAACCTATTAGTGTATCTTAATTCCTCGTGGATGTAGGCAACACTGTGTCACTATCACTGATCACGGCAGATTAGGTTTAAAACTATTAAACTATTTACGTATATGTCCAAGAAAATATAGCATGGACTTGTTAAAGATCAAGGAATGGCATATAATAAATCTGTCTGCTTTGGGGGCTACATTGCGATCGTGAAAACTGTTTGTTGTTGGTAGTGATGGTAGTGGACAGTCACTTCACTATCAGACAGGCCCATACACGTCAGTTTGTGATCATTTCAAGGAGTTTCGTGACACACCAATGCAGCCTACTCGTATGACTGTCGACTCTTGTTACAATCTTGTCACTGTAATAAATCATCTAGAGTGTACCTGAAGAAAGCATTCATGTGGGTGGTAGGGTTACCAAATGGTTATCTGTACCTCAGTGGTGAGATGTGTACATGTACGTCGCAGACATTTTGAGCTTCTGAGATATTGCTCGACATGGGGGAATATCTAGTTTCTTTCCCACTCTGAATCTGAGATCTCACCAACCTGTGTGGTGAGAGGTGAGTGGTGACGATGTCGGTCGTTGTCCTAGTGACGAGAGTACAGATGAACACACACCGTGTCAAGAAGCAACATAACTTGTAGGGTTATTCTCACTTGTCGAGTTATCCCCCGAGTTATGATGTCCTTATGAGCAGATTCGCAACCACCTTTCAACTTTAATAATTAATTACGTTTTTTATGCATATCTTTTCTATTCGACGTTACAGTTACGATAGAAATACAAGAAGTTACAATGGTAAAAGTTTAGTTCACGACGTCCTATACAACATATAATACATGTATTTTCCATTAAAAATATAAAATGCTCAATCCTTTGTGAACATCGCAGATTTGAGCTATTGCTCGACATAAAAGGAAAGTTGAGAGCTGATATTGACTATTGACATTCATACAGATGATATCTGTCGAGGATGATCTACTCGTAATTCTCGAGGAATGAAAAAGTACATCGTTCACCTGTTCTCGTTAAACCACGCTCCCCGAATACTTTGCAAATCAATTTATGCATATTTTTTATTAACGGACGTCTATGAATTTTATCTACGGGTCATATTGCGTAATGCCATGTTAAAGATATGTTTGTGAATATTTTATACCAGGAAGAGATCAACATGACATGGGTAGGCGGGTCGCGTTGACCTCTGTTCTATCAGCTCCATACTAAAACATAAACTCAATATCGTAAACCATAATAATTGTTACGATATTCGTCACGTTCATTTCAGTTTACTGCCAATCACATTCACCACAAATTATTTGCAAATTATGACACAATGTGGTTTCTATATTCAACATTTTATTTCAGTAATATGTACAATTTGAGCACTAAGTGACATACTTCACGGGAGGAATAGCACAGTACAGTAAGCTGTAGAGTCTGCTATCGCATCTTGGATATCTGCAAAACAATAGAATATGTAAGATGTTACACAAGTTCGAAGACATGCAGTGTGTTTTATGTGTTTTTTATATATTATTTCTCAGTTCAAGGTCTTCTTTCAGTTCTCATCACAGGCATCAGATGTTAGTTACTCACCATCTGAAGGAACAGTTTCACGTGTGGTCGTTTCCTGTACGGGGAACCAGACTTGAGAAGTTCAGGAAGTGTTTCGGCGGTGATGCATCTGGCTACGAACTCCCAACAAGCCTTGCGCAGATCTTCCAACTGGTACTCAGTGGAGGCACATATTAAACCTAAAAGAAAATAGTTTTGTATTAAATAATGTACAGTGTTATCGACGCAAAGGTCACTGTAAAAATGCAAAGGTCACTCAGTAGGAACTACTTTGAGACACTATACACAACAACCAACAAGACACGTTTGTTCAATATTGACCGACTATTTTACTTTTTCAAACGCGATTCAAGGTACTTTTTAAACATAAATTGCGTGTATAATTGCGCCTTAAATATCCTTGTGTGTTCTGCATTGCATATTAATACGCATAAAAGTTATGCATATGGAACCTCCTCCAATCTCTCTTTTAACCACGTGAATACACATATGACAGGTACAATCACCAGAACTTACCCATGACAGTGTCTGTCGTCACAGCCACGTGACCTAGGTGAATGAATGACACAACCCTCCTGAATACTTCGTGGTCGTAGTCGGGAACAGGGATGGTGATGTGGTTGTCTCCGGCGTGACAAGCTTGAGTTGAAGGCACGGATTCGCCTTTCGCCCTTTTCTTGAAGAGAGAGAACACGCCCCTCTTAGTGCGTGCTTTCTTCTTTGAGAGAAATAGTTCATAGAAGAATCTGCAATCCAATACGAAAAAGGTATCGATATTATATTCTTCAATATTGCCTATATTAATAACAAAATATTATGATATTTTACTGTACATCAGTCACTCTCACATTTTCCAGCCACAGACTAAAAACTCTTTCTTGAAACTCACCTTGATCGTGACCCCATGACCGCCTGCAATCCATAAACTGGTTCCTTCATTTTGCCAGCAAGGAATGTGACGTCACACATTTCCTTCACGCAAAGGATGTACTCGAGCGTGTGGATGAGCGGTTTCGTGTTCTCAAACACCACTCCGCCGTCGTCAACGTCGCTCAGATCATGCGGGCTGCTGGCACGGGAACTATATCCAGACGTGGCTGAAGACCCTGAAGGAAAAATGAGTTTTTATTGAAACTGGAATAAAACGAGATATATTGTTGAAAGTGTGTACTCTGCATCCATTAAGCGTGTACAGAAATTGATTATGATCGTGGGTTCGATCAACCCAGATTGGAACAGATTATTCTGGATGTTTGTCATACCGTTTGTCATAAAATGCTTGCAGACTCTTACCATCTGAGGACGATTCATCATCGGAGGAGTAAGCATCGTTCACAAACGCAATACGGCGCCCGTTTCTGGAATCTGAGATATGAAACAGAGTTAGATGTGGTGACATATTGCAATTCTTATTCAACTGTACCTTATTTTGTTGACATGAACTGTATTTGTGTATACGTTATTGTATCATCTTATGGCTTTTTCAAAATCCAAGAAGGATTTTTAGATCGGTACACTTAACACCTGGTTATATCCAGGATGGTGCTGTGCATTAATGTTCAAAGTGCACAAATGACATACATGAAGCCAATTTATTGAAGTCAGTGTTTTCTGTGAAACAAATAATGCTACTCAAATAAAACTACTCAAATCTTTTGCTTTTGACAATGAAGTCGTGAAATGATATCCGTGTGTGTAGAACTACTGACGGAACTAATGCCACGCTTTATTGTTTTAGGTCATTAATTTTGATCCAGATCTTCAGGGGTCAATCATATATTACGTACATCTTAAACAGTGATGACACTTTTTTCTGTTTTGATATGTTAAGGGATATGTTCTACGCGTTCATCTCAAACCTGATATAAATAAAGATCTTACCTCGGGATTCTAAGCCATCAAAAGAAAACATACTCTCGTACTGGGCGTTGTTCGAGTTCATAGTGGAGGCTCCGATTGTCAATGTTCAAAAGATGCGTCAGAAAATGATTGCACTTGTCGGATGTTTGAACAGATATGCCCTACAAGTTCGATTGCAGCATATTTATAATACCCACCAGCAACAGCTGAGGCGTGTGAGTTCGCTCACCAGTCATGACGCACGACATACGACAAGCCATGACGTCACGCTGGCGTGAGTGCAGTTCACACCTGATTGCCGCTAAGTAGTGGTAAGTTGGGATAATGCAGCTGTTTCCGTTGTTTATTTATCTATCAAATTGTCTTTCTGATAACATCTCACCAACTTGCGTCGTGACAGGTGAGTGGTGACGGTGTCTGTCGTTGTCCAATTGATGAGAGTACAGATGAACACGTACCGTGTCAAGATGCAACATAACTGGTAGGGTTATTCTCACTTGTCGAGTTATCCCCCTTGATGACATTAGCAGATTCGCAAACACCATCAGCATTAATAAAAAGTGACGTTTTTTATGCATTCTTTTCTATTCGACGTTACAGCTACGATAGCGATACAAAAAACTACAATGGTAAAAGTTTAGTTCACGACGTCCTATACAATATATAATACATGATTGTATTTTCCATTATGCACTTATGGTAAAAATTTAAAAGACTTAATTGTTTGTGCACGTTGAGTCAGTTTTAGCCCCGAATTGAATTTAATCAATTTAATTTGCCAGGGTTATCATTCCCGATGTCAGTATCGTATTGCCTCAATGAGATCAATAAAAGCGACAAAACTCCATATCCATAAGAAAACCCTGCTAAAACACAGAGTAGATCTCGGCTTCATCTTGATCATGTATGAGTCACTATCAAATAGTGATGGTGCCAGGTTACAGCGAAAGTTAGGGTGTATCCTACCTCGCAGGTCAAGTAACGCATACATTGTTTATCTCACACCATATCCTGCTGAAAGGAAGAAGGTTTCTACAGATTGCTGGTTGTATTGTTACAAAGAAAATACATGCAACAATATTGTCAGAACGACGTTGTATCATTTGCCAAGACTTCCGTTTAGTGACATTTGAAGAAGGATAGGTCCGTTACAGGGAAACATTGCCCGAGGTAGGTGTTAAGCAAGAAAAGCTTTTTACTGACGCGTCAGTATTATAATATGATTTCAGCTATTTACCTTGTATCTGAATGTAAAACATACATGTTGATATTTTATTAGTGTTTCTTGTCAAGCTATTTAAGACTTGTGATGTCGCTTAAAACTTTTGCTACACAACACCATGACAGTACGACGAGGTTCTACTGGTCTGTTCCAAACTCTGATATGTACATTTCGAATTTACATTGTATTTATAAATTAATACAAAGATATGGGTCATCTGAAATAATGAAAACGAAATTCCGAGTTACCGGTCAGCAGTAAAGGGGGCAATGAAATAGTGATACCAACACTGTAATTTGACGACGTCACTTAATATGTATGATGTCAAATCATCTTTTGTACTTAAGTATGAAGCCAGCCGGGTAATTTATTATTTAAACATGCTCACAGGGGATCAGGTATAGTTTAATAACACTATTCAATATTTTGCCGGATGTCGTGCACCGCAATAATCAATAAAAATTAAAATGTGTGCTTTATTTTTCGGCCAGCGAGATAACAGATCAATATTCTGTACGGGAGGGACCATTTGTTATTCCAGGATGACTAGCCAAAAATAAATATATCTCGATGGATGGTCAGAAAAAGAAATATTTAGTCTCTATGTACAATCGTGTATAAAAAGTTGACTCTCGGAGAAAGACCAGTCCCAATTATTCCTTCATCAGGGAATATCTTCTCAACCAACTGTGGTCACACCTACCTTTTCATCAGCCACACTTGTTTCACTTGTGTAATAAAATGGACGATAATGCACAAACTAATGATTTCTAAATTGATAAATATAGGGGTATATACATAAAAGAGAAATCCGCATTATTAAGGATTTCCACATGTTCCTTGGGGGCTGACCACGTTCTACTACCTACATGTTGTAGCAAATCAACAGAGTAAATTGTCTTGCGTTTAGTGTTTGAGACGGAAGTTCTTTTTAATAAGCGCCACCAAAAACATATTTCGCACAACGCATTATTTTCCTGGGCATCGAGCGTCTCCACTTTGTTTGTTGTTTAACGCCGCACTCAGCAACATTCCAGGTATATGAAGGCGGTCTGTAAATAATCGAGTCTGGACCAGAATATCCAGTGACATCAGGAGCATCGATCCACGCAATTTGAATACGATGACATGCATCAATCAAGTCAGCGAGTCTGACCACCCGACGTAAAGGTAATTAAACTCGCATTCAACCAAAATGTTTTTGATTACAATTGATGGCAAGATAAGTTTGATCCAGAGGTACCACACGGCGCAAAGAAATGTTGTAGCATACCTACCTGTTGATGCAAGTACTTATACTGTCGTAAAGCGCAAAGGTGAAACCCAGAAGAAAAACAAATTGTAATTTGCATGTGGTACCTTCATAATCAGGAATGAGAAGTTTCAGTTTAAATATTTATGTTATATAAAAGTATGAAATAAACATATTATGAAAACAAAACTGGTAATATGTTTTCACAACAATGACTTTTTCAAACATTCGGTGTTGTTTTCAAGGAACATGGGGTATTAAGTTGACACAATCATGGTGGTATACATGGTACTGTTGACATTGATATATCTACAGTGGTAAAGTTATTAATATTTTTTTTCAAATTAATCTTTTCAAAGTAATAGCTATAATGTTGTAATATTATTTTATAAAGAAGTTATTCTGTAAATGGAGACAAGCAGATATTGTCAAAATTGAAACCCAAAACATGGGGAGAGTGCGTATGTTATTTTTAACGATAAACCATATTTCTCTATAAAAGTTTTCCCTGTTGCCTGACTAGCGTTTAGGGACTATTGTTTGTTGCCTGTTCATACCCGGCGCATTTGGATGTTTGTGTGTTTGTTGGGAGCATGCTACTTACAAAAGGGTTTCTTTGTAATGAGAACAATGATTGTTCAGCTTTCGGGTGCTCATAAAAACACTTTTGTTGAACCGTAAATAATGCTTACTCAATGCCACAGACTGTTGAAAATCAACGTCGGAAAATTTTGCCTCATCGAGTAAATGAATGTTCGAAAAATCGTGGTGGTTTTATGCACTACTGGTCGTACTTCACTTCCCAATTTGTTCAAAATTATCATGCAAATATTACTAGAAACTAACATCTCTTTAGTTACTATTCCGGACATTTTAAGTTATTGTTGGAATATCCATATTTATGTATTTAGGAATGTTCATAGAATTTTCTTTTATGCTAGACAATTATGAGGCTTGCAACGTGGACGTTAGCCACAGCGTGGATGTCCTTGTTGTGCATTACCTCTACTACATCACAGGGTACAAAGGGTGAGTATGCTGGGGAGTCGGGGAGGTGGAGAGGCTGTTCCACTGAGTGATGCTGTTGTCCTTTAGTATAATTTATGATGAATATAATCATAAAGGTGTCAACATTTGCCCTTCTTTTTTGGCCTTGAATCGTTTACATATTCTTCATGTGTGACCATTTTATTTATTTTAATAGGTTGCTCAGGGGCATACACAGCTTACGTTGTCGTAGATGGATCGGAGAGTATCAGTAATTCAGGTTTTGAGGAAGTTAGGAATGCGTTGATTACGTTTGCTGATCAAAGTATCAGAAGCAACAGCCTTACCAAAGTTGGCGTCGTGCTATACAGCGATGATGTGACAGCTGTTATCACCGCATCCTCTGACATCAACTCACTAGTGAATGCAATACGTATGCTTGCTCATCCGAACTCAGGAACATTCACTCATCTTGGTATATGGAGAGCAAAGGGTCTTTTAGACGCGGACACGTCTGGTAACAATCACATCATGATTGTGATGACCGACGGTTTGTCAAACTTTCCAGCAGATACTAAAGCTGCTGCTGCAGAAACGAAGAACGCTGGGATAAGAGTGATTGCTGTTGGTGTAAATCCTTTGCTTAACTTCCCATCATCACCATACAAGAGACGTTATGAGCAGGAGTTAGTGGATATTGCCTCGGATAATGCGACAGCAATTCAAATCGAAGACTTCAGCAGTTTAGTCACAACAGTCCAAGACATTGTCCAAAGCTTGTGCCGTCGTGACATTGGCAAGTATTTTAAACTTTAATGGAATATATCAATTTTTAGCCAATGGCTGAAATAACATTGCAAACACGAAAACGTCGTTTTTTCCGAATTTGGTCATGCGATGAAAAAACGACTCAATATTCATTAAATTTGGTAATTGGTGAGCGTCGAGAATGTGTCTGTAAAAGCGTAAAATGGACGGGAAAACGATGCTTTTTGCTGCGCTATGTAGAACTGTTAACAGCCAATCAGATAGCGCTGGTCCCCTGACGCATGTGATGCCCAAGGCTTCCTTTAGGGAATTAGGTTTAGTATTAGGTTCCGTATGTGGCATGCCTTACTCTAGTATCTGTCGCACGCAGTGCAGTAAGATTTGCTGATAAGTCAGTTTTAGGATATGAAACCTGTTACTGGAACTCAGACACGCGCCAAGACGTCATTCCAAACCATGTTACCAAGTTTATTGAGATAACATATCCCTCCGCTATGCACAGTTATCCCTATCGGACAATGGGTTGTGTTTTATTTGGTTGTAACGGTAAATATTTTTGTTATGTGAAGTTTACACGATATACGGCTTTTCCTTTGGACGAGTGGTCGGTCACATGACCGCGAAACTGAAGTTCAATAACGTTCAACAACGGACTACTTGCATATTCCTTGGGGAAATCCCTGGGAATTCCCTTGCATGAATTACATACAGAAGCGTCGTTTCTCATCATTTAGACCCTTTAATTTTGAACTTAGCGTTTTCGCATACATTGGGAGAGTTTGATTGCTTGCCCGGTTAAGGATATCCTCTGTACAACCCATCCTAAAGAACAAAACGAAGAAAAGCACATCCAAACCATCGCTGTGACAGTCTACAGCAATCTATGAATGTACATTAGTATCTAATTGACACAACGTTACACTCACATTTCAATGATCAGCCAATTGTTCAGTCATGAATAACACTTGAAATGGCCACTGGTGCTTTAACGACTTCGGAAATATCTCCCGCCACGTTTTATCGTGTCGGCCATTTTGACGTCTTGTACTTGATGTAAATGTATTAAGACGCTCTGTCGTTGTGACTGACGTACTGGGGTAGTTCCTAACAGACCTTTCTCATCTTATGGGGATATTTTTGGAATAAACATCTTGAAAACAAAGTTTACTAAAACAGATGTTCCTGAAAAGCAAATTGAGCATACATACGCTCATGTGACCTCTCTTTTCAGGGAAATATTTTATTCCGCGATACGGCTTCTTGTTGTATGGCTGTGGGTGTAAACAAGAGGTCACACGTATAGATCTAGCCACCTTCACTTACATTGTAGACTCGACCAGGCAGCCGGTAAAAATAGAGTACAATACAATACCCCAAAACATGAAGACAAGTACCATAAAACCGAGAGGATTATGAGAGACATAATGTCATTAACAACATAAAATATACAAAGTAATGTTATTGTAAATATCGGAATATGAAGACAGAAATACTTTTCACAGACACATTTCAGTCTCCCTCTAACCCCAACCCTTTACACACGCAAACATACGCAAACATACACAAACACACACAAACACACAAACACACACACACACACACACACAAACTGAATGATATCAGGTCATCGATATACCAAAGCTTGAGCACATTCATCCGCACAAACACCCGATTACTCCTGACATACATGCACACACGAACCCTTTCGCACATCAGGCTGGTAAAACCGCACATGCGCTCACACACCCACACAGAGAGACACACACAAACATATACACTTAAGTTTATACAAACATATTTTCACACGTACATCTATTATATAATACATGCATGAATAGCTTAGTTAAATACCGGTGTTCTTATTGAGATACAATAGGCGAAGACATAGTCAATTAATAAGACATAATACATGAGTAATTGTTTGTAAAACTATTTTCTGTGGATAAACATTTTACAACCCACGGTAACTTTGGGGGAGCGGGGAGGTGGAGAGGCTGTTCCATTTAGTGGTGCTGTTGTCCTTTAGTATAATTTATGATGAATATAATCATAAAGGTGTCCACATTTGCCTTTTTTTTTGGCCTTGAATCGTTTACATATTCTTCAGGTGTGACCATTTTATTTATTTTAACAGGTTGCTCTGGGGCATACACAGCTTACGTTGTCGTAGATGGATCGGAGAGTATCAGTAATTCCAGTTTTGAGGAAGTTAGGAATGCGTTGATTACGTTTGCTGATCAAAGTATCAGAAGCAACAGCCTTACCAAAGTTGGCGTCGTGCTATACAGCGATGATGTGACAGCTGTTATCACCGCATCCTCTGACATCAACTCACTAGTGAATGCAATACGTATGCTTGCTCATCCGAACTCAGGAACATTCACTCATCTTGGTATAAGGAGAGCAAAGGGTCTTTTAGACGCGGACACGTCTGGTAACAATCACATCATGATTGTGATGACCGACGGTTTGTCAAACTTTCCAGCAGATACTAAAGCTGCTGCTGCAGAGACGAAGAACGCTGGGATAAGAGTGATTGCTGTTGGTGTAAATCCTTTGCTGAACTTCCCATCATCACCATACAAGAGCCGTTATGAGCAGGAGTTAGTGGATATTGCCTCGGATAATGCGACAGCAATTCAAATCGAAGACTTCAGCAATTTAGTCGTCACTGTCGAAAACATTGTCCAAAGCTTGTGCCGTGACATTGGCAAGTCTTTTAAACTTTAATGGAATTGATCAATTTATTCACACGATTTGTACTTTTTATACTGTTGTGCATTTCCATACAGGTTGGATCACGTGTTGTTTGAGGTCTCGATTCAGTTGACATGTTAATGTCGCGTTTGTTTCAGCTTCTATTACACATTCCCAGGGAGATTTAATAAATGAGTAGGCGTTATACTGTTTTGAGATATCTTTATTCGACATCACAAATAATGAAGATCTGGAACACAGAACAGGAATCAGAACTTAATGCAACACATGATTGTATAATGTACACTGGACAAAATATCATCCATTCCAAACAATCCAAAACTTATTTCCAAGCTTGGATTTGTTTTGGATTTTTTTTGGATTTGTTTGGATATGTTTGGATACGTTTGGATACGTTTGGATACAACATGTCATAATCATATCTGTTAAACGTTGTACAACTTTTGACCTTATGTGAGATTAGTAATGACATGAAAGTAAATAATTAAGAGTATTTTGGCACTATTTACCACGAAAAGACCAAATCATGAGCAAATTTAACTAAAAGAATTTCTGTCATTTAAAGTGGCTACTCTTTATATTTAATTTCTTATCTTCCTTGTCTATAATCATATGACATTGACTATGAACTTTGAACAATTAAACAAATATTTTGTTTTCCCATACCGACTTACGGTTGTCGTAGAACAAAGACCGTTTCGAGAATAGAGGGCCTCATTATTATAATTTGAACTAATATACATATGTACATAATAGTACTAGGTATAAATGAATTTTGATAAGTGTTCGTACAAGAATATGAACGAATTATCTCGGAATTATGCGCAACACATAGGGGTGGAAATTTTATAATTGGTCTGGAACTATCTGACGGTAATTCAAAACAGGGAACAAGATTTCGTCAAATGAATCATTGAGCCAGGAATGCAACGAGTTAAATGCTGACAAAATTAATAAACATATCTGGAACAGAGTAGACTGTTCATGCTGACAATTATATGCTACGTCTATTGCCAATGAAGTTTATCACCCCATGTTATAGCATTTGTTTCACATAAAAGATAGAAGCCAAATAAGTGGGACAATTAGTTGTTATGAATTAGCTTTACCTCTGTGACATATTACGCAACTAAAGGTGAATATGTTTATCAAATAATCAATTACAGTAATTAACCTAGTGTCCTTCTTCATACACAATTTAATTACGTATTGGGGTACAATATATAATACACATATACACGGAATGATTTCTTATTTTGTCAATTTAATCATAACCCAAATCATACAAATCGAACATGTGAAAATAAAAGTAGTGACTAACTTTATGATCAAGGGTATAAATACTCAATTGTATCTATTAATCCTAATAGTATAACAATAAATCCTGTGTATTTACTAAGCATATTTAGATACATCTACGACCGCAATCATATAATCAATCAAGGAAAGTATATTAAATTGAATTAAAAATGTGCTATCACTAAAACAAAATTTTCCGTTATCCACGTAAGCCTAAACCTGGGAGAAATAAAGTTCTGTTCTGTTCTGTTCTGTTCTGTTCTGACTGACTGACTGACTGATATAGAAGATTTAACGTGCGCTTTCCGACTGCAGCGTATTTCGCACACGGGCCTGACCAGACCATTTAGTGTATTCAGAGAAGGGTGAAAGTGGTGTGTGCAACACAAGAGGGGGCTTTTAGGGGTTGCTTATATCGATTTTTTGAAATTTTAAAATTTGGAATAAATGCCGAGGTGGGTGGCGGAGGGAACTAAGGGAGCCGGGTGAGGTGGGTGTATGTATGTTTATTGGATTTTGGATTGGTAGATTAATTTTTTTTAGATGCGCTTGATTAGGCCTGTTTTGATTAGGAATACGCCTAGGGCCTTGAAGTTTTCTAGTTTATTTTGAGGGTTTAGTATTTCATCTAGAGTAGGAACCTTATTTAGATTGAGGTTGGTTTGTAGTGTGGTTCTGTGTGTTTGGTAGTGGGTGCAGTGGATGAGTGCGTGTTCTGTGGTTTCGGGTTGTTTGCAGTGGGGGCAGTTGCCTGTGGTGTGTCTTTTAAGTTTTTTTAGGTGGTTATTTAGGTTCGTGTGTCCTGTTTGGAGTTTTGTAATTAATCTGTCAATTTTGGAGGGGTGTAGGATTTTAGGTTTGGCTAGTGGTTTTCTGAGCACTTTTTGGATTTGGCTATTTGAGTTTTGATATTGATTAAGCCATTTTTTGGTTATTTTTTGTTTGTTTACACTTTTAATTTCTGATTTTGAGGTGGGTATTTCTCGTATTTTGAGAGATAATTTAGCTGCTTTATCGGCGCTTTCGTTGCCGTAAATTCCTACGTGGGCGGGGATCCACAAGAAGGTTATTTGTTTGCCTGCTTTTGTTAGGTCGTTGGAGCTTTTAAGTATTTGGTTTATTAATTTAGGTCGTTTTTTGGTATTTTTGTTTTGGAGGGCTTGTAGCCCACTAAGCGAGTCAGTGAGAATTAGGATATTTTTGTTGTTTTTTTATTGTTGGTTATGCAGGGCTGAGGCCATGCCCATAAGTTCGGCCGTGAATATAGATTGGTTGTTTGGGAGTCGGTAAGATTGTGTGGATATAACTGGTTGTGTGGTATGGACTCCGAAACCTGTGTGGTTGGAGATCGGATCTGAAGATCCGTCAGTGTATATGTGACACCAATTTGGCCAATTTTCGTGTATGTATGACAGTGTGGTGGTTTTAGCTATGTTTGGGTCGGTTTGTTTATTTATTTGGTTAGTTAGCGTTGTGTCTATTTGGGGTATTTTGAGTTTAGGGGTGAAGATATTTGATTTTTTGCAGTTTTGTTTAAGATTTTGAGTTTGGTGTTCATTGAGGTAGTTAGTTATTCTTTGGGATATTAGGGTGAGTAAGGGGTGTTTGCGAGCTAGAGCTTGGTTTCTTGGGCTAATGTTTTGGTTAATTAGGTTTTGGATGAGAGGGTTTGTTTGGGACGCGGCCCAGAAATTAAGGCTAAGATGTTCCCTGCGTAGATTTAGTGGCATTTCTCCTGTAAGGGCCTGAAGTGAGGTGTAGGAGGTGCCATGTTGGGTGCGTGTAATTAGTTTAAGGGCTTGGTATTGTATTGAGTCAAGTTTTTTAGATAGAGAGTTGTTTAGGGTATTGTATATGGCGCAGCCGTAGTCTAGTTTTGATCTAATTAGTGTTGTATATAGTGAGAGGAGGGTATCTTTGGAAGCTACCCAGTTGGAGCCGGTGAGACATCTTAATGTGTTAAGGTCTTTGCTGCATCTAGTTTTTAGGTTTTGGACGTGAGCCTCCCAGGTGAGGTGTTGATCGAAAATAAGTCCTAAGAATTTGGTTTGTTTTTGGAATTTGATTGTTTGGTTGTTTAGCTGGAGGATTGGGTTGGCAGGTTTCATGTTTTTATGTTTGAATACTACTCCTGTTGTTTTATCTGAGTTAAGGGAGAAGCTTTTAGTGCGGATCCATAGGGCTCCATCATCCGCGAATTTTGAAGTGTTTAGTTTAGGGGATAAGCCCTCGAATAGATCATTTATCATTATATTGAAGAGGGTTGGGCTGAGAATGCTGCCCTGGGGAGTGCCATTTTCTAGGGGACACTGGTCCGATAGCGTATGGTCTATACCCACGGTAATTTTGCGATTGTTTAGGAAATCTTGGATGAAGTTTATTATTTGGCCTTTTAGTCCTATTTTTTTTGGTTTTTGTATTAGCCCGTGGTTCCATACCATATCGAAAGCTTTAGAGAAGTCGAGGAATATGCCTATGGTGTATTGCTTGTTTAGCTGTCCTGTTTTTATATCCTGTTCTAGTCGGGCAAGGTTATCGAGAGTTGATCGGCCAGGAGTGAAGCCGCTTTGGTCGGGGTTTATGATGTTGTTTTGGTCTAGGTAGTGCTGTAGCCTATTTTTAGTCATAAGTTCCATTATTTTGCAGAGATTTGAGGTTAGGGATATGGGCCTATAGGAGTTTGCCTGATCTGCTGGTTTATTTGGTTTAGGTATTGGGATTACTAGAGCTTCCTTCCATGAGGATGGGACCTGTCCGTTTAGGTAAACTAGGTTGTATAGTTTAAGTAAAGTTTGGAGTAGTTTGGTAGGTAAGTGTTTGATTACTTGGTAAGAGGTGAGGTCTAGGCCAGGGGCTGTTCCTTTTTTTCTATTGTTTAGTACGTGATTTAGTTCTTCTATGGTGTAAGGTTGATTTATTTCTAGGTTGTCTTGTCTGATTTCTTTGGAGAATTTTATTTCTTTATTTAGTTTATCTTGGAATTTCTTACTGAAGTTACTGTTGCTACTAACTTTAGAGAAGTGTTTGGCTAGGTTGTTGGCCTTTTGGGTGGGGTTAGTTGAGTTGTTTATATTGGGGCTTTTTTTGTGCCGTTTGATGCCTCGGATGGCGTGAATTTTGCGCCACACCTTCCTAACGTCGGTGTGGTGGTTTAGCTCCTCACAGAATTTTTTCCAGTTTTTGGTTTTAGCAGTTTTAACTAGGTTTTGGACTTGGTGGTTTAGTTCATGAGCTGTTTTGAGATGAGAGGGGTCTCGTTTAGCTCTGTTGAAAGCTGATTTGCGTTTTAGTCTAGTAAGCTCTATTTCCTCATTCCACCAAGGAACAGTGGGTTTTCCTGGGTTGGATGATTTGAAGGGGATTGCGGATTTGGCTGCGTTGATTATGAAGTTAGTTAGGTTTTGACAGAATGTTTCGGGGTCTGTTGTTTCTAAATCGTTAAGATTAGCTTCGTTGCATAATTCTTGGAATTGGTCCCAGTTGGCGTTTTTGTACTGAAATTTAGGTTCCTGTTTAGGGGTTTGATTTGGTATTTTTATATTTCCTAGGGTTATATTTATGGGAAAGTGGTCGCTGCCTAGAGGTACTGGGTGGACGTCCCACATCAGACTTTGTGCTAAGTCTGGCGTACATATTGTTAAGTCGATAGCCGACATGGTGTGGTGGATTTTGTCGTATCTAGTTGGTTGGTTATTGTTTAATAGTATTAGGTCATTTTTTTCGATCCACTCTGATATTAGTTGTCCATGGTTGTCTAGTTTATCTGCAATGCCCCAGGTAGGATGATGGGCATTGAAGTCTCCTAGGAAGATGGTTGATTTATTTCCTAATTGGTAAAGGATATCTAGGTCTGTATCTTTAATTGGTTTTAGTGTTGAGTGATAG